ACTCTAGAGATATGACTTTTAATATGTTTTTCAGTAATGTGCGGATATACATCATTTTTTAGGAAATATATTAAAGTGTTAGTATATGTATATTGCACCGCTATTTCGTTAGTGTTCGATGAGCCAAGGGTGTTTTCCAATAAACTTTTATACTGCGTGAAGCTTAATAATTTGTTTAGTTGATTAAGTATTGGTTTGATCGGTTCTATTAATTCTTCTAAACTTCCATCTCTTTTATATGGTACTTTCCGTTTCTTGGAATTTGTTTTTGCTTGAATAATTTATGTTCTGTATTTTTCAGATTTTTGTTGATGTCTTGTTCTTGATTCAATAATTGCGAATCATCGGTAGAACTAACTTGAGAGTGGATGCGTTTGTTTTTCATGTATGTGATCTCCATTTTTGCAGTATTTTCAGTTTCCTGATTATTATTATTATTGTTAAAATTTCACATAGTTTCAGTATCTGCAGGAGGATTATGTTTATTCACATGGATGTTCATGATGGATTCGTTTAATTTATCTGTGGCGTCTCTATTCTTGCAGTTTTTGGCTACATGCCCTTCCTGTTTGCATAAGGAACATTTAACAATATCTGTTGTTGGGTAAATGAAGCATGTGGGTGGTCATAATTGATTGGTGTTACGCCTGGCAGCTTAGTAAGATCATCCGGACGTACAGTGGCGAACAAAAGTATTCGTATACCATTGAAACCGGAATAACTTTTCAAAAATTGGATCAAACGACTTCAGTTATTTTGAGAAGTTAAAAGGATTAGTTTACTAGATGACGTGTAAACAAATTTTTGAAAAAAATGTAACTGGTCGAAATCGCGAAGAAAATAGTGAATGTCGCTTTGTGCAACTTTTTTATCTAAACCTGAATGAAAATTTAATAAATACGTTTTGTAGATTTATGCCAGTTATATACAATCAGTTAACTGTTAAATTTAATTGTAAAACTAAATTAAATTAAAAATTAAAACAAGTTAATTGTAAAATTAGTTAACGTTGCTATGAGCTACAAACGGTTAAAAATTGTGTCGCTTGTTTCTATCAACCGACTCCGATGAAATTTTCAGAATGTACATACAGTGTGTCCAGTTGAAATGGATACACACGATTATTTGTCTTCACGATAACCTTGGAGAGTCCTGCGATGGTTACGTTTAAATTTTTAAATGGAACCCTGCATTTTTTATTACATACTCTTGTAGCTGACATCGAACCGTTTTCGAAACACTACCTGCACATGTATTTTGCATAAGCCGCTTTTGAGTTATTAAGCTCCAAATTCGGCATGTCGCCGCCGGCATTAGCATTACCCGATGTACACCGCGCGGAGGTTGCTCGGTCGGATTTTGTACATCATGTTGGCTCTAAAAAGAACTGATTTTGTGTGTGTGTGCTCTTCACTTCCATTTTAAGGTACATAGTAGTCTTTCTATATGTGATCCATTATTAAAAATACATTTTTATAATCTTTGTAGGAAGAGCAGAAAAATGAGCCACAGTATCGATGTGGCTCAATTCAGTTGCTTTTCGTCTAGAAACACACAAAGTCTGACCGAGTTACCTCTCGACGGTGTACATCGCATAACGCTAATGCGGAGGGATCACGCGAAATTTGAAGCTTAATAACTCAAAAACGGCTTATGCAAAATACATGTTCAGGTAGTGTTTTGAAAACAGTTCGATATCAGCTACAAAAATATGTATCAAAAAATATAAGATTCCATTTAAAAATTAAAATGTAACCCCTAAATGTGCCCCCTTGACATAATATATTTGTCTGGAACATTCTTCTATATTTTTAATACTTGAAGAAATAATTGCGTGTATACATTTAAACCCGACATATAACCAGCATAAGCCAGGCTTAGATAAAAAAGTTGTAAAAAGTCACCTTCACTATTTTCTTCGCGATTTCGACCAATTACAATTTTTTTCAAAAAAATATGTACACCATTTAGTAAACTAATCCTTGTAACTTCTCAAAAAACTCAAGTCGTTTGGTGCAATTTTAAAAAGTTTATTCTGTTTTAAATGGTGTACGAATACTTTTGTTCGCCACTGTATCTAAACTTCTTTTCCAATACTGAGTACGCGATTGTAGCCTTCCTTTGAAGTGCCAGCTTTAATTACGCTCGAGCCTCGGGTAATTTGTAGGTTATCTATAATAGTATGTCTTTGATGTACATATGTACGCGGTATGGTGGGGGATACGTTGGAGAGGATTACACGTTGGTGTTTTATTATTAATGGTCTAATGGCCACTTTGTGTTCGCCTATTTTTATGCACTGAACCTTTTTGGTTAGATTTTCTGTGATTTATTTATTAGTTAAGAATAAACACACGCGGTTATTCGAGATATGTGATGAAAGTAAAACATTTTTCGATTGAACTAGGTCTCCTATATCACATAGTGTAGTAGTCTGCTATGTTTAAGCCTTCTTGGTATTCTACTCTTAGTCCCTGATCCTTTTTTGGAAACTGCTCCCGTTTAGTAATTGTGGCATAGCTATTATTGCTTTAATCGTTTACAGTGGTTACTTCAGGAGGCTAGTTGTAGAATGACTCTCGCAGTCAGAGACCACTGTCAACTCGTTCGTTGCTTGATTTTATCATTTGGATTAGCGGCGATTTTTAGGGCTTATAACCCACACTTGGAAATTTCGATATTTAATTGTCCCTGATTCTACGTTTACTACGAAGCGCAAGCGAAACACGTCTGCTCTCTGTGAAATACCTGATTGAACTTAAAAAAAAAAATATACAAAAATTTGTGCAATATAATTTTTAATATTATTATATTAAATTTTTATACTTTAAGTTAGTACTGTCGACAATGTACGTCTAGCTGGCGTTCAGCCTACCAGCTGACAAAGGGATTTTGAAGCAAAAAATTTCAAATACTATTGTTCTTTGATAGATTATGCTGGGATGGAACTGGCTTGTGATAAAGAAAATGGAAACTTGAATGTTTTAAAGAAAGAGGTAGTTTTGCTAGCAAAGAAATCGATTGTATATTGTTTATAAAAAGACTATAAATAAAGATAAAATGATGATTATCAGTTAAATCCCTAAAGAAATATATGTATATCGAATTGAATGGACTTTATCCGAAGCTGATCGGTTGAATACATTTTCAGTTATTCTGCACGCCAACTTGAAAAACGTCGTCTCGAGAAAAACGCGTTTAAAATCGGTGCCTTTGACAGTTTGAAGCCCTAACTCATCTCCACAAATGTACTTGTAATTCGTTATTTTTATGAATTCGTCCATAATACTATAGGATTATATTGTTGAGATGTTGTATTTTCAATTTAAGAAAAACAAAATCTATTTTTTGACACTTTCAAACTGGACTCGCCCCTTAAAGTACCAAAAATTTCAATACTGAAAATAATGATAATTGTAATCTCTTAGTCATTACTTTGACACTTCTTTTGTGACAAAGAACATATAGAAGAAATGTGAGGTCTGAATGTCAGCAAATACATCTCTTATACGCTGTTTATACGCAGGGTGGTAAGCAAAGGGTTCAGAACTTTGAAAGTAAATAGTACTGGGCAAATGAAGGAAGAAAACTCTCAACACGTTGACCGCCCATTTCACGGCTCGTCGTCTGCCGTATAGTTTACTTCATCTTTTTGTGTATCATACATATATGTACACTCTTTATATACTTAATTTCTAATGACGTATAAAATAAAAGTTAAAGATCCTATCATTAAATCTCAATAATTGGCAAACGATTGCATGTGAAATTTATGCGCCGGTCAACGTCGGCCGGCGTGGCGTTCAACGTGTTACTAAACATGGGACGAAAAATTAAAATTTTCAAAGTTATAAACAACTTTTCGTTTCGATTCTCGCATTCTAAAGCGAGTGGTTTGATCGTTTCAGAAGCTATCATTATGCTGTATAAAACCAGTGAATTACCTTACCATTTTTCCTTTTCGTGATTACAAGATATTTTCTACATACACTACCGGCCAAAAGTTTGGAATCACTGAGCATTGCAATTTACACAAAAATTTCCAGAAAAAAGTCAGCGACTTTGAGAATTTTTTATCATTCGAATCAGTTGATATGAGATAAATTGATAAATGTAGAATTGAGATAAACGTCAAATCTATAAAAAATTAGCAGCAGATGTAATATTGATGAAAAGTGGGAGGTGATTCGAAACTTTTGGCCGGTTGTGTATGTATATCCTCCTCCATATGGAGGCAATTTTTACCATATTATGAAAATTTTATATTAACCCTCTGTAACTGTTCACTGATAGCGAGCATGTGCAACTAACATTTCTCTGGTGAAGCCTAGTGATAAGATAATCCTGTCTTATGATACGTGTATAAAGTGGGAAGGAGACAGATAATCTATTGTTTTTATACAGGACGATAGCTCCCAAAGCGAGCAAGCCACTCACTTTAATCGAAAGAAAAAATTGTTTATAACTTTGAACATTCTAATTTTTCAACCCGCGTTTATTAGAACCTGGCTCTCTCCATTTCGCGAGTACTATCTACCCTTAAAGTTCTGCACCTTCTTTTTTACCACCCGGTATATTAAGAAGTGATAGAAGCTTTAAAATTACATTTCCTGAAATATCAACAAACTTGTGTTGAGTTTTATTCCCCTATACCAGTATACAAACGTTCTGAGTGAAAGCAGACATTTAGTAAATTCGATCGAAGCATTCAAAAATATATTGTTTTCAAGCAATAAGAAAACGGTAGCTGTAAGTAATAAAAATGTAGTAATGAAAATGTTTCGAAATCAATACCTTGCATGAAAATGGACAAAGCAAATTACATGATAATTATTACATGATATAGATGAACTACACTATAGCGCATGTAATCTGTTTTATAATTTGCATGTGCAGACTGTTGGCAATGTTACGCGTGAGAGGAAGAATAAGTGTTATTGTATGTATAAGTGTAGAAATGAAGATATAAAGAGGAGAAAAATAAGTGTACGTGTTCTTACCTCCGGTTTCCTTGGCGGCAGCTACGGTACGTGTGAACATGGAAAAAAAACAAAAAACCGAATAATTTCAAATCTGAGTGCAAGAAACACACGCTGGTGTGTGCGTATGTGTGTACGCGCGCGCGCGTGTGTATGTGTGTCACGTACATGGATGCAATCGGGTGTACGCGCGCTAGGAGATGATTGTGCAATTATATTTGCGTGCACGCCAATGACTTAATAGCAAAATAGAAAGAGTTCGCGTGCTACTGACAAAATATAAATTATCTGTATTTGTTTATGAGAATGTAGCAAAAGGAAGACACAAGACTATATAGATATATGTAACAAAATATATTATACACAGAATACATTGAGTACAAAGAGGCAGCAAGATGGCAAAATAGAACAAAAACAACATGTGCCTTTCTACAATTTTCATAAACCAGGGTAATTGTCAGACTATGTACTTTATCGTTCAACAGTTTAGGGTCATTGCTACATCTCTGTTAACTTGATAAACTATCAGTTTTGTAAAACCCTCCAAGTTTCCAAATCCATACACAATTTAATCACGAGCGAAATGTTTTCAGTCAGTGTAACAGTAATTACAACGTATAAAATGGCGTATAACCCTAAACTTTTGGACGATGGCATACATATATCAGTTTTGATTGGCATAAAGTGAATGCCTAAAGATAAGTTGCAATAACGAGAGAGAAATCACTATGTGGACAAAGCGAAAAAAAGCTTACCATAGGTTTAAACACGTGACTATTTCTTTGAGACGCAGCTTGGCTGCCAGAACCTCCGCTCCCGGCCCCACCAATAAGAGGTTGATGATTAGAAGGTGGTGTCGAAACCTTATGAGGTTGCCGTGGATCGTCTCTAGGTGTCGGAGGTAATGGCCGAGATGGTGGTTGTGGGTCTGGAACTACTATACAGCGCAGAAATAGTTACGTAAAATTGATTAGAACGGGGAAAGGAATGATTCGTTACGAGATGCGACGACAACTTTAATAAGAGTATTATGTAGACGAAAAAGACAACTAATTACTGATACACTGTCAAACACACCGATTAATCTGTGTGGAATAGCAGGTCGTGCAGGTGGCCCTGGTTCTGGTATATCTCTTTGAGATCTGCCACACGGTTTTTCTTTAGCAGCAGGTGGTTGAGGGGTTACTTCTTGAGTTAGTGTCCTACCTTCCTGTATTTGCTGAAAGTTCCTACGCAATGTATCACCACCAGGAGCTTGAACAATGGACGAGGCTTCACCAGCTAATGCTGGTTCATCTTCCTCGTTCTCACTACCACTGTATCGATAATCGTCTCTTTCTGTTCGATAAAATACGGACATATATGAAACGAAGGTATTAAAAAATATATCCTATATAAATTTCACTTCTAAGGCATAACGCGGTGACTTTCATACCTTTCTCTTGTTTACGCTTTTTACAGCGATCAATATGATCTTTAAGTTGTATCCTAACTTGTCTTTCAGTTGGTTGGTCCCGAATAAATGGATGTTTAAGGAGCTGCTCTGTATACGGCCGTTGATGATAATCTTTTACTAAAACCGTTTCAATAAAACCGTGGAATTTCTTCGCCCACTTTTTCGATTTGAGTCTTGGTGGTGGATTACGTGGGATCAGAAATAAAGCCTTTTATGTGAATTAAGTATAATTACAAAATTAAATTTCACCCTTTTAGAGCCAAATAGTAATGTACGCGAAGAATAGAGCAGACCGAAAGTATTTCGGATACTTACTCTCATTGGATGAAGATCGCAAAGAGGAGGTTGCGATTCAGCCATTTCTAAAGCGGTAATTCCCAACGACCAAAGATCGCTTCTATTATCGTATGTAGCATCCGGATTTTCATCACAGGCTATTACTTCTGGAGCCATCCAATACGGCGTTCCAATAAATGTATTTCTTCTACCTATTGTCCGATCTAATTGTGCACTAACGCCAAAATCAACTATAAAATAACGAAGTCGTTGAATGATCAATAATTAAAACGATTCAATCGAAATGCAGTGAAAACGTTGGAATACAACTAGAGTATAAGACATTGAAAGACGTACCAAGTTTCACCTCGGCATTATCGGTTAACAGAACATTTTGCCCTTTGATATCTCTGTGAATAACCTTATTGCTGTGAAGATAACTAAGTCCTCTCAATATTTCTCGCGATATATAAGCAATCCATTCCTCCTTTAAACTCTGGCCTTTAGTTGACTTGACAAGATCTGTAACGGAGCCAGCTCCGCAGTATTCCATAACCAACCACAACTGATCATCCTTTCCAGGCGATGACTTCTTTACGAAGGCACCATAATACGTTGCTATATTTCTGTGATTCGAATACTGTAAGATATAACGAAAGAAGGTAAATACACTTATGTAATACTTCAATAATATGACTTGTCTTTATAAATGATTATTCAAAAGTACTACCAATTACTCACCCTTTTCAATACATTTATTTCTAATTTGATTTCTTCCTCTTCGTCCTAGAACACGCAATAACAAAGATTTTTATTATTTCCAAAGTTTCCGATGAAAATGCATCCTATATTACAATCTCATTAATGTTTAATAACCGGTATCAATTGCAAACAGCATCAATATTTAATATTTGATCATTTTAGATGCTTTTTCGAAAATGCCAAAAATGGAAAAAGTGTCAGCAATAGAAAGTATTGAATGAAAAACACTTGTGGTGTTTGAAAAACTTTCCTTTAAGAGGTTAGACTACTTTGACCTGTCTAAAAAGTACCGCTTCTTCGAGAATTTATTTTGAAGTAACAAAAACCCTTTATGAAATAATTTTTCTATTAGTAATAGAGACATATATATAAACATTATACAAGAATTTATGGTTCAATTTTCTTTTAAAAAAAGAAATATTGAAATAATAATGGTGTACCTTATTCATGATGACCAGGTTTCTAAAATCAAATTTCCCTGATAGAATATTAAATAAAACTAAATTATCTATCGGCTGACGTAGGATGTTTTTGTTTAATGCAGAAATAACAAAATGGCAGTATTTCAAAGAAAAAATTCACTTTTTACGCAGAACTTCAGTAAGTATTAAAACATCGAAGAAATCCTACATCGAACGATATACAGGGTGTCTGTTTTAACTTGACTCGGTGGAATATCTCATAAGGAACTTAAGGTATCAAAACAATTGAAAAAAAAAAAAAAAAAAAAAAAAAAAAAAAAAAAAAGAGTTGTTTGGTGTTGAGGGGGAGATTATACGGTGTAAATAGTTTTCTGCAGGTGGAGCAACGAGGGAGATTTCAACATCAAGTTCACTTTTTTAAATGAAACGCTATATTTTTTTACTCGTAATACACGTACGATAGCGTTTATTGAGGCAAATTCAACGAGGTGCCACACTAAATTATTTCGTTTTATGAAAAATCGTAAAATAGTGAAGAACCGGGGAATCATATCAAAATGTGTCGCACACCTTCTGCCAGCTAAACCCTACTTGACCGTGTTACTAAGGTTATGTCCTAATTGAATGTCGTATAGCAACAAAATCGTTGTCGTCCGATCGATCGACCAACACGACAAGGAATCAAATCACATTCCATGACAACTATACGATTTTGTCCGTCGCATTGTTTGAATTTCAAACGAATTTGTTTTTTGTCGCATCGCACGCACGAAATCTTACGACAAAAGACTATCCGGGATTAGGATTCGGACTTAGGTTTCGACTTTGTGACCACTTTATAAAACTTTTGTTAAATTAACTCTCTTTGCAGTATACTTACTGATAAAATAAATTGTTCCGTCGCGCAGGTACGAAACACACGGGGTCTTCGTTGACCGAATTTATGACACGCTCGTACCAGAAGGTTATTTTTGAGAACAAAAACGCTTCGTAGCTAGGCGAAAATATAAGTAATCTCTTGTAAACAGTGGCTTTAGAATTTCTATCTTTCGGCGTCCTCAATAGCCGAAGACGTGTCATAAACCAGGTATTCCTGAAAGGACAATCCACACGCGCGTCTAACGGCACTTTTGGTCGAGGGTTGACCTGGCGGGAATTTCCGACGTGTCACCGAAGGACAGCGAAGATTCCACGTACCCGCAGGTATGGTCCCACTCCTTCCAAGGAGAAGCGCGCTAAGGGTGCAATGGAAGGGTGAGTGACACTCAAGGAGCACGTTGATTGGTAATTTTTACTTTCGTGAAAAACCAATCAGCGTGCCTTCTTGCACTTGGCGGGGGAGTCACTTCGGACTCCACAAAAAATCGGCGATCAAGCAATATTCCCAAAGATTCTCTCGAGCGAACAACATATACTCTCCAGCCTTTCGCTCGAATCTTTGAAACAAAGTCGTCAATCGTTCGTGGCGCACTCTACGTTTTGCTAACGTTCCGAGCAAAACAAATTTGAATCAGTTAGCTCAGATTAATTTGGCGGGTAATAGTCGCGAACGCGAACTTTTTGAACAACCATAAGAGAGCGCGACGCGACATAAATTGTCATTTTCTCGTAGCTATATTCTGTAAAGGTAATAAAATTCATCGAATTTTATCCTGTCCACTATATGAAGTTTCCCTTTCCGTGTATTTTGTAATAATACGTGTATCTTTTAAATAACTATTTTCACTAACAATAAGAAAAAGCAATTCCGACTTCGACAAAGACATCGTGGAAACTGACCGCTCTCGTCACAAATAGTATTGGACCAGCCGGTCGTATATGGACACTGTCGCATTGTTGTACGACACCGATTTTGTCGCTATGCACGGTGCGTTCAAAAAGTTCTCAGACCGGTACAATATAAAATCGAGTTTTGTAGATTAAAGGAATTTTATTATTTAATGTTCTATATACATCCCTCCTCTTGCCACACACTCAACAGAAAGTTCATAGATATGTTGGAAGGCCTTGGAAAACTCTTCGTGAATTATCACACTTAATTCTACTGTCACGGCGTGTTGAATTGCCCCCACATCTTCATAACGAGTCCCTTTCATTGGCAATTTAATCTTGGGAAATAAAAAGAAGCCGGCAGGTGTCAAATCTGGCGAATACGGCGGATGACTGATAATGGTCACACTTTTTTTTAGCCAGAAATTGGGTGACAATGAACGACGAATGCGCAGGTGCATTGTCGTGAAGGAGGAACCATTCACCCGGTCGGTAAAGCTCGGGACGGACACGTCGAATCCGTTTCAAAAGTCGATCCATGACGTCTCAACTCGTCAGCTATCAATGTTAAGGCGTATCCTGTAGCCGGATTTATGGCAGCGAGTCAAGTGGTCGCCGTCGCAGGCAAATATCGTTTTCTCAAAACACCACATGTGTTTATTACGTTGCCTGCGACACTTAGTCCCTAGGACCAGACCCTGCCATAAATCCTGGAGTCTCCGAACGGAAAATAGAAAAGTGACCCACGACTTTTGCCAACGTCGATGGGCCACTTGACTTTAACAAAGCCTAGAAAAGCGGAGATTCCACAGGATTCCCACGCATCCGTCCACCGAACACTTTCTCCGGTCGTTGTTTATCCCACCCTAAGATAACGCGCTAAGGGTGAAATGGAGGGAGGCTGCGATGCACCGGAATAAACTGATTGGTGATTTAGAAAAGGAAAAATCACCAATCAGGGTGTTTTTAGGAAAATAGGAGTCTTCTTCGAGGGAAACCGGAGAGACTCCGGCAGAAAACAGTTAGCAACTCGCAAGTGAAACACCTCTCACTTCGCAATAGACTTTGTATCTAGAATTAGTTGTATAAAATAGACCACAAATAAAAACTTAGTGTTTCAATCAAGAAACTGGTCCTTCGAAGCCTAGAACATTAGTCGGCACACACGTGCAAAAGCCGGCAAAGCTTGAACGATCGAAAGATCAACCCCAAGCCCCTAACAGCAGGTTTAAATGGCCGTACAGCAATCAGAAAACCATTGCTTTCGTCGAAAAATCGTAAAATGCGGTTGGATTGGGCAAAAAGCCATAAAAATTGGACACCTACGGATTGGGGTAAGGTTCTTTGGACTGACGAATCCAAGTTCGAAATATTTGGGTCGCACCGAAGGATATTTGTTTACCGATCTGTACAAGAAAAAATGTTGTCCGAGTGTATTGTACCTACTGTCAAACATGGTGGTGGTTCAGTTATGGTCTGGGGATGTTTCTCAACGGTTGGAGTAGGAGACATAATCGAAATAGAAAATACAATGAAACAAGAAGACTATAAACAGATACTCGAGTAGCACGCTCTACCATCAGGTCACCGGTTAGTAGGTAGAAATTTTATTATGCAGCAAGATAACTACCCTAAGCACTCATCTAAATTGTGTAAAGGGTTCTTATTGCAAAAAGAAACAGAGCGGGTCTTGAGGAATATGACATGGCCAGCACAATCACCGAATTTGAACCCGATAGAATTTTTGCGGGAAGAGCTCGATCGGAATATCCGGTTGCACTGTCCAACATCGAAAAGACACCTTTGGCAACTACTACAAGAAGCATGGAAAAATTTTAAGTTAGAAATACTCGAAAAACTAATCGCTAGGATGCCCAGAATATGTGAGGCTGTGGTTAGAAGTTAGGGCGGTTTTTTTGATCAGAAGACAATGTAAAGAAAAATATCTATTTCTTCGTATAAAAAATAATATAAAATGTAAAATATTCTACTTATAAGTATTTTGACAAGTAAAACTTCCTCAATTACTTTGTAGGCGTTCAATTTTTCTTAGAAATATCCTGTTTCTCTTACTTTACGTAGTGATTCCAAACTTTTGGCCGGTAGTGTATGTATGGGGGACGGTCTAGCGCAGCCGTAGCTAGGCAAAGGCTACCGACGACGGCTATGCGTGTGTGTAGCATGTTCGTGTGTCTGCGAGCGTGTCGAGCGGTGTGTCGGCGAGGCGCGAGACGAATGAAAAAAGGCAGTCGTTAAGTGGCCACCGAGTCGTTTGCATCTGTAATTTGTCTTTTTCTATTTTATTATTAAACTTTTAAACATTGACCCGTTGTTGTTCCCTTCTCCCTGTTTACATCTTACATATATATTTCTCTCGTTTCAGTCTTACTTGCACGTGTTCGAACACTTTCGCGAGCCACTGTATGTACATAGAAATGAGGAAAAAATTGAAATGCTCTTAATTTACAGGGAAAGCAAACGTAATGCTGTGATGGTACAGTAGGTATACGTTGAACGATTTCCGAATAAAAATCATCTACCGTGTCACATGTTCCAACGTGTACTCAAAACACTTCGAGAAACGGGATGTTTATAGTTATAGATCAATGATGCTCACATCAGTGCCGTAGAAATTGTAAAGAATAGTGATGTATTAAAATCTAGTGTTTTGAATGCTTTACTACATCCACCATTTCTCCAATTCTAATGACAAAAAAAGTATGTTGCGGTATTTCTGATACCTGTCTTTTTGTCCGCTAAAAATAAGCGAAAAGTTCCATTTAACAAACTAAAGGCGATCTTGATAACTTTGAGAAAAATGACCTACAAAAC